TGAATTACTCCAGGTTTAAAAATTTCCTTTTGGTTTAAAAACCTCCGTAGTCCTTAATGATTACAAGCATACCCATAACATGATGCAGCCACCACTGTGCTTGAAAATATGGAGAGTGGTACCCTGGACACAAGGGGTCCGAGACAGAGTCAAGACCGAGACCAGAAAAATGCAAGTCCAATTCAAGACCATGATTGTAATTTGTCAAATCACCACCATAATAAGTCCAAAATGTCCAGTGGTTCTGTGTTCATATTTCAGAACAATATATTCTTTAGACATTCAGAAAAGTGAAAAAAAATGCATGCTGAGGGAAAATAGATCCACTCTACAAATGATGACCCAAACACAGTGGGGAACAATGGGCCTTCTACACCTTCAGAGAAGGGCAAAGGATTTATAAAATAATTATTATAATTATAATGATATTTATATTAATATTTTCAATGATGTTCTGATTTTATCTCTTCAGTTTTTGTTGGAAAGGAAAGGGTTAACATGAAGAGAAAAAAAGATCCAATCAGGATTTTTCTTTGCTGGTTTCTGGGGAGATAAATCTAGCGAGCTAAGTCAGCCATTGGCTAGGCCACCAGAAACTAGATAAAAACATCTGCCATTCAACTGTATTAGGGCAACATTTTGGAGTGACAGTGGAATCAACCAATCACATTTTGACTTAATGAGTGGGACCGTTTTTACAAAAACATATGGAAACATCTGTCTTCTTGAAGGCCAACAGGTCACACTGTGCAATAGCGAGCAGAAGTTTTCCCACGGTCTAGCTAGCTAGCTTTGGTTGTCGGGTAGTTTGCAGCGGCTGCAGCAGGTGTTATCAAAGAGGATGTTGTTGCTAATTTGTTAGCTTCTCCCTATTCAAGAATAACTTTCAATAAGAAGTAAAGTTTCAAATAATCATCATCTGGTGAGTGGAACTGTGTTTTTTATTGCAGCGCACTTGCTGCTGTTAGCCATCCCTTTGAAAATAACTTATGTGTGTGAAACAGTGTTGCATTTAAAGTGGAACTGACAGCATTTTGGCAACATGAAATCTTATAAATATCTGTTAATATACACCCCCAGGACGAATATGACACATAGATATGGTCATTTTCACATTTTCAGAAATTCTTAGGATGTTTGGGAATATGTGAAAATGTGTGAAAATGCTATAGAAATATACAGTGGGAAAGCGGCTGTGCATTTGGTCAATTAAAAGTCACTGAAGTAAATAAAACCGAAGAAAAACATCTGTTTTATCCAGGACCGGAGTTTACACAGACTGGTGCGCTATAGCCAATCAGAGCTACATTAGACCTTTATACAAACAAACCATTTGCCACACGGGCCTGCCATCATTCACTTTGAACTGGACTGTGTGTTTACAGGCAGGTGCAACAGCGCGACTTTAGATAATTTGAACGCATTCGCCAAAAGCCACAAAATACAGCTGAATGGATTTCTGCAAATATGTAAATACCACGGGAGTCATCTTACATTTGGGAACTTTACAGTCCTATTGACCAAACAGCCATGACAAGCTAGGCTCTCTCTCCCTCAGTTATGCACATCAACAACAACAAGATCAACAACTAATGCTAGCCAGAGCAAGATGAGCTAAAATCTAACAAGGGAATGTTAGATAAACCTTCTCAAACTTTTTCAGCTAGTTGGCCGTCAAAATTGCACTGATAAACGATGGGAATTGTAGCCTCCTGGTCTTTCTGCAGCTTGCCTGCCAATGCATGCTTGTCCCAACCAAGCACACAAACTAACTGTCTAAAGTTGGCTAGCTTGCTAGCTAGCTACTTCCAGACACACAAGAGAACACCTCACTTTGACAATTTTACTCGCCATAGCAGTGCTGGTTAGCCTGTTTAGATGTTATCTAAAGCGCTGTTGACTAACTAGAACATTACGTTTACTACATATTCAGCAGGTGCATTTGTAAATGCATCAGTTGTTCAGCACGATCAGACGAGAGTGCTCTGAAATCGGAGGAGATCGTCAGAGTGAATTTGCGAATGCAAGATATATGGGGCAGCAGGTAGCTTAGTGGTTAAGAGCGTTGTGCCAGTAACCGAAAGGTCGCTGGTTCTAATCCCCGAGCCGACTAGGTGAAAAATCTGTCGATGTGCCCTTGAGCAAGACACAGTGCATCCCGAATGGAGGCCGCAAACAATGTACCAGGCCAGTTGTGATTTAAAACCTGATAGCAATATTTTTGGGACTACCAAGAAATGTATCTATTCTGCCAACAATACCT